CACACTTTATTAACTAAAAGTGTATAAATGCACCCTTCTCACGACTATTTATTTAGGGGGAGACCGTTAACGTTCGCATGTACGTCACATTCCATTTTTTTTGTTTATGGAATCTTTTCTGGGGGAGGGGCTACACAATTTTTTTTTGGGGGGGGGGGCTAAAGGCCCCCCCCCCCCCCCCCCCCCCCCCCCCCCCCCCCCCCCCCCCCCCCCCCCCACACACACACACACACACGTAGAACCGCCACTGACTACATGTACTACACTTTTCTAATCGTTGCTGGTTGGGTTAATTTATTCAATGCAGTTATTTATTTCCACAATCTCGGGTGTCTTTTACGTGGGCTCTTCAAAATTGGATTTTGTTTTAAGGGAATGTACATCATTGGATTTTGCTGTAATTTTCAGAAATGAACTATTTGAGGGGTTGGTATAATAGATCAAATGTTGTTACACTGACATGTTTGAAATTTTGTGTTTGGAAATGCTGGAAAAAGCAAGAAAAACAAAAATGTTCAAGTAGTCTGGTTCCCTGACCTCCACTTAAGATAAAATGGATCAATTTATAGATGCCAGAAAATTGTAAGGTAAGGGAACCAGTCTAGCTAGAATTGTGTACGTTAAGTTTTGTTTGTCTCAGATTTTGCGCGTTCTGCGTCCATTTTTACAATATTTCACAAGATGCGTACGCGATTCTACTCCGATAGGTTAATTCCCCTCCATCCTGCTTCAACCGAATTAGGACCTGTCGGAAAACGGGCTTCCAGAGTTATATGGCTACGTCTTTTGTCAGCGGGTCGCCGCGTATCTTCAATGGGCGCAGACCTAGACCTATCTTTAGACAGCTAATTCGGATGCAGCCTTAGCTCCTTCCCTTCCCGCTTAGCCAATCCCCGCACCAATGAACACCGCCACCTAGTGCCAGATTGTGTCCAGTCTCGTCCGCATTGAGCAGCGCCCTCAGGGGTCACGATAATACCTACCCCTCCGCTTTTCGAAATCTCCTGCGATCCGTGGCAGAAAAAAATCTGGCTACTGGCTAGGTTTCTAGCTCCCTTCCCATTTTTTTGATCCGCCCGTGTAACGGCAGATCGAATGTGAAGAACATTAGGGCAGGAAAATCGGACACGGCCGGCCACCTGCTGAAACAGTAGTCATCCATTGCCATGGCAACGTTAATGATTTACCCCTAAAGAAGTTACGAAGGCGGAGTTCGAGAGGTGACGACGTTTGTTCGTTATACAATAAGGGATTACGCCGAAGTGATTGCAAAAAGTGATCCTCAAAACATCTATTAATCTCCGAAACAAGAAATAGCTGATGGTGCATGAAGTGTGTTGCACAAAGATTTGCGATGCACATAATCGGGAAAAGCCCCTCCCCCACCACCCCTATCGTTGAAGTATATTATAGAGACAACATTACATTTGGATTTTTAATTGAACACAGGCCTACATTCTTCATAATTAGGGCTAGACAAAGTTTAGGCTTTGTTTGGATTTTTAACACATAACTGAAAACAAACGCTTGTCTTATTTACTTACCCTGAACATTTATTAAGAAGAATATAAAGGCGAAGGGTCTCAAAGGTTTATTAACTACGTTGTGTAGCTATGTTGGGTTTTTAACTTCAACAATTGCAAATCATTTCAAATTTACTTTAGAAGTTCGTTTACTCACATGGCGTAAAAAATTCTAGCCATGCAGATCGCAAAAAAAAAAATGAAAGAACTTAACTTATATTCCACATGACATTGACACAATACAAAATGTCCCTTTACATTCAATATTTCCTTGCTCAAAATGACCTTCGTTGGAGAACGGATGGCCGTCATAATATTTTGTTTAAATTTTCAATTCCGTAGGCTTGTTCAGCTGCCACACTGCAAGGCAGTTAAATAAGCTTATACCCTATATAATTAACACGGCAAATGAAAAGTCTCCACGTACCCTCCAATACAAGCAAAGTCCAGTTGACTTCGACTGGAAAAGGAGACGTTCATTAGTTGCCTGGAGGAATGTACACCCTCTTATTATACAATACTAACAAAATTCCCAGGACACGTAGGCCTAATTATTAACTCAATTTTGATTGAATGCACTTTTTAGTGAACGCAGCTACTTCACTGGAATCTTCAAGATTTTCCAGGTGGTGAGTGAGGTTCTGAAGTAACACAGAATCCTTAAAACAGTGATCTGAGATTTGCAATATTGTGACTATTTCAGGAAAAGAAATTTAGGATTTGTTTTCCGTTGTTGTAAATATCTACCATTGGTCTAAGTATGAACGCACCAAGCTCTGTTCTCCGGCCCTGGACATTTGGGGCTGAGCACAAACACTAGGTACTTGTTAAATGTGCTTAGGTGTGTCATATGTAAAACAACTCTTAAAAGCCAGTTTATAATGAAAATATATTAACGGGTATTCAGTGATATTCGGATGGTGTTCCTTTGCTATACAAGCTTGTACGAGACATTGGGGGAATAGTGTCCCTTTAAAAGTCGCTACAGTTTCGACAGCAGTTTTCAAATTGCAATAGACTTGGGGCAACTTCTTATAGGGGATCATCATCTTAAGGGCAAGCATCACCTAAAAGTCATTGCATTACCGTGGCCCCAAAAATAAACGAAAAGAACGTAAATGATGGTAAAACAAGCTTTAATTTGATTTGACTCTTTAAAGGCACGTATGAACATCGGCAATTACCCGGAGACGTACCTAAATCGATTTAACGAGAAAGTCTTCGCTAAAAGTGAAGATATACAGGACTGGTACCAAATAACCTGTGAAATGATTCCCAAACGGAAACCAGTATAAACGAGACCACCAAACTTGGGCAAACATTTTATCAAAATGTACAGTATCAATTGAGATGAAAGTTCAACAAATTAGTTGTTATGCACCCGCCTTAAGATTTTGAGCAATTTTGTTGCTTCAAACGAAAATAAAATGTACAAAAAAAGAAAAATTATTCTATGTATACCTGTAACGCAATGGGACTTTTAGTTATTATTTCTAAATATTTGGTATGGAAATTTGAAGGTATGTGTCGAGGGCAATTTACTTTCTGGTCTGGAACCGCGCACGAAACCTCCCGCCAAAGTGGCGGTTTATTTTACAGCGCCATAGAGAGGTCAAAATAAGGTATACCAGTGAAAATGTAGGCTTTAGTCGAATTACGTGGATATTATGGTCGGCAGTAACGTAATCGCTATGGGAATTGGATCAAGTCGCTTCCGTACGAGCATTTGTAACCGCCGGCCGTAACGAAGTATCTCGGCGGCCTAATCTTTGAGACTAAGATTTCAAGACAATTTGAAGTCATGTGCGTGACGGGAAGAAGTGGGTGCAATATCAGACAGACATCACACATTTACATCGATTTAAACAAGTTCATGCTCTGGATTACGGTAAAGTAATTTGTCAAGGTAACTAAGCTTGTTTTCGCATGAGATACCTGGGCTTGGAAATGTTCTGGTGTCGCGTGCTCTTCAGGTGCACCTCCAGCTGTGCTAATATTACCCTGGTACACACTGCGCATGCGAGCGTATATTAATTGGTATCAATGCATCCTTACCCTGTAACCACGATGTGTTTTCATGGATATGGTAATTTCATTACTCCGCGATTTTTTTTACGTGGTTGGTGATACATGTAATTACCTTCTTTCATCGTGACTGACTAAAGGCTTATCCAGCAGGGTGTTGGACGGAAGTGCTCGGTCACACTGTATCGACGTAATTATGAAAGATTACGTACATTAATACCCGGCAGGCGGGAATGAGAAAGGGTTATACAGCTTTATATCATGTCTATAGAATAATTGCTCTTAGTGCATTTTTTTTGGTTGAAGCAACAAAATTGCTTAATATCGTTAGTAGAGTGCATAACTGACCTGTTGACCCTTTAGCTCAATGGCTTCTCTAAATTTTGAGAAAAAAACAACAAAAACAACATTTGCACCTTTTTTGAGCCCTTGTAAGCGGCTTCCGTTATAACGCCCGTAAAAAGAGTGCCATTCTTCCTGAATGCCTTTCATAAGACAGACTGGATCGTTGGAGGGCCTTACATTTCGCTTGCGTAGCAGATTCTTTTTCTTTGAGAAAGATCAAAACTTTTGTGATCAGTTATTTTTGTATCTGAGTGGGAACACACTGCATCCCCTTCCTCCAAGTTAACCCTGTATTACTCAGCCGGCAAAAACATATTTAACGATTTTTTCCCGCACATGTATCATTTTGTTGTATGTAACTGACTCACTAATATACCAGAGGCACAAATTTGAAATCAACTCTCGTTTTTACCTTCACACGTTTTCAATTTAATACCTACCGTTTCAAAGCATTTAAGAAGCGCTCTCTCAATATGCACCCCACGCTTCGCAATGTTAACCGGGTTTCATTTTGTTTAGAAAAATAGCATACCTCGCAAATTTCAACAAACTCGCCCACTCTCATACGTGGATTTACAGAATTGAAAAAAGAAGGAGAGGAAACAAAGTTCGTCAGTTTTTTAGCCTGGCTTCTTGCCAAAGAACAGCTTAGGTATACCCCACACGTTGCTACACTTGAGCGCCATACAACGGAAAAAGCTGCAAACGCCATGTTCGGTCCCTCAGATCAGAACGCATGTACGTGCACGTGACTTTCACTATGTTAAATAACAGGCATACCAAAAAAAATGTGCGTTTGGAAAACACTCACGGCAGCGCAATAATCGCTCGTGTCCAACGGTTCGAAATGAGAATGCGCGGTACAGGCTAACCCTTACCGACACAATCTGGTAGGGAAGCAGACTGCATTGTGGGTATGGGCTGAACTGTAAATCCCCAAGCACAAATGAACGGCAAGGATTGCAGCCTACATGTGTGACGTCAGGGTTTGACAGCCATTCACTCTCCCGACCTTATTTGCCTCATGCATAATTCATTGTCTCGCGGGATCAGCGTGTACCATCGTCTACGGTTCGTGGGTGATGGTTTCGAGCAGACGGAAAAGAGTGAAGGTACGACGCACGAATCGTGACAGCAGGGCATGCATACAGCTAGCATCCGGCGCGCATAAAATGATGCTACAAACGGCACTCACCGAATCCATTAGTTGCATGCATGTACTTTCTTGTGGTACAGGTCAGTAGGCTTGCATGATAGCAAACGCGCCACTGGAGGCTTTTCACTCGTCGACGGAACATTAAAACAAGCGTACACGTTCAGATGGGCAAGATGCACAATCTTTTAGGCGGTCGAGCAAATCTCACCCGCTTAGGAGGCTGGGTAGTTCATCGTGGTTGCCGTCTGATGGGGCAGTCACCGTCGTGCCAAGAAAACATGTGTACGTGCGCGTAGTAAGTGGTTCATATGGGACTTATGCGTGTTGGCTACGCAGCGTGTGCCTCTGGAATCATGGTACTGTGCACAACTCAGGCGATGTTAGGATGAACGGGACCCTAGCACCTCAGGAGGATGGCGTGAATGAAATGATGCCCCCACCCCTGGGATACTTCATATTCCAAGCCCTCTTCCTCTCCATCATCATGATCGTCACCATTCTCGGAAATGTAGCAGTAAGTTCGTTTTTCTGAAGTCTAGCTCTGTTTTTTTTTACTTGTGTATTATTTTGATGTACAAACACACAGTTTGGATGCTACCTGTCTTTAAGTTAACTGAATCCATCTCAACCATATTATCTGAACTGAATCTGGTCTAAAATAATTATGCAATATTAAAAGATATATTCTGTATCTTACCGATTAAATTTTGAAACTTGGAAACACGAATAGAACGATATTGAAATTGATAAAGATCTTTAAATATACAGGGTGAGTAAAAAAAACCCAAAACACGAATGTTGGGACTATTGTTTTAGTGAAGTTCCGCATGTAGCACTTTCAAAATCTAGGATATAAAAGCCCAATTCATAAGCTTTCTTTTAGTACACGAATCATTCAAATCAATTATGTACTTTTCAGGTTATGGAATTTTAAACACAACCACCGTTTTAAAGTTCTGTCCACGGATCACAAAAAAGGTGTGCGTTCTTGCAGAAAAACGAAAACATTTCACACACATCCCTATGTGATTTGTTATCGTTTTGCTGAAAGAACACTTACCTTTTTGTGATCATGGACAGAACTTTAGCACGGTGGTTGTGTTAAAAATTCCGTAACTTGAGAAGTACATGAGTGATTTGAATGATTTTTCTGCTAAACAAAAGCTTATGAATTGGTCTTTCATACCCTAGATTTAAAAGTGCTACATGCAGAACTTCACTAAAACAATGGTCCCGACATTTGGGTTTCGTTATTTTGACTCACCCTGTATTAATCTGACTGTGAACAATGTATCATCAAGCAAAATACTTCGATTTACACATTATTAAACTTATTTGTTTTGTGGATTTTCGTTGCTGTTACTTACATCTTTAAAAATCATCACTTATTGAAACCAATATCCGGGTAAGAAAACATTTTAGAATTGAAAGAAAGTTACCCCTGAATCCGAATATTGGCACACAAAATCTGTTTGCTGGACACAAAAACATGTCTTGGGCTTATCATAATGCCTCTACCTGATAATGGAAACGTGACCACTACATCATAGGCTAGACGCCATTTTGTATTTTAAGTGTAGCCTTATCCAACCACCGGTTTCAAGTACACATGTAAATGCCATGATGACCATCACCCGATACGTTTAGTATAAATGACCGATTCAATTTGGTGTATATGCATATCGCAATCAATAAAATAGGCAATTAACGTCAAAATTTGCACCACATCAATCGCCTCAGGCATTCTTTTCTCTTTCGGGACTATTATATTACCACATTTAATTGTGTAGCCCCTACTTGATGTTCTTTATCGCTTAGTTGTTTTTTTTAATGTTCACCAACTTTGAGTCGTGAGAGAGTCAGATTTCAATTTCTTTCCAACATGGTTTTAATAACACAGGCAACCTTCAAGCACTTTCACGTGAAATGTTTTGCTGTGTTATATAAGACCTACAAACGACCTCACCTAGAGTACTGCATCCAAGCATGGAGACCTAGTTTAAAGAAGGATATTGAAATGTTAGAGAAGGTTCAACGCAGAGCAACCAAGCTAATTCCCTGTTTGAAGTCCAAACCCTACTCCGAGAGACTGGCCGAGTTAAAACTAACCACTCTGGAGAGAAGGAGAATAAGAGGAGACCTGATAGAGGCATTCAAAATCCTCAATGGATTGGAAGGTATTGAAGAAGGCAAGCTATTCACTAGGAATTCAAATCAGCTCAGGGGTCACAGTCACAAATTGTTCAAGCCAGCACTAAAGAAGGGACTGAACTGCAGGAAGAATTTTTTCTCTCTCCGAATAGTCAACGAGTGGAACAGTCTCCCAGCACATGTAGTGGATGCCAAGTCAATCAACCTATTCAAGAATAAGCTAGATTCCTACTGGAGCCAAAAAGGATATGGGGTCTTAAAGGCTTAAGCCTATTCTATTCCCATCATACCTTAAGTGTAAGTGTAAGTGTAATTACAATGAAAACTGATAATAGACTGAGTTAATAATCGAACGACCGGTCACATGCTTCTTTTTGTTCAAATTCAAGCGTTTTCCCGTAAGGCATTTTACTAACATCTACGTTAAACAAGTCTTTTTGACTGGCCAACTATAAGTATGCGATGACTGTTTCAACACAATATGAACATTAAAACTGGGAAAAAGTCTATTTGATTTGAGATAGAAGAACAGTATGACAAAAATAATCTAAACAAAAACCATACCTTTTCGCAACTATCCGGAACGCCAACGATATCCTACGATATTTTGAAGAAAAAAACCCTTAATATATTGTGACATTTTGGTGACGAAGAGGTAGTATTTGCTCAGTATGTCAAATGTATAAAGCCAATTATAATAAGCGTTACCGATAGCAAGGTTGTGTTTCGGAGTCACAGTTTGAGTTCTACGCTATCATTTGAAAGATAATTAAAAATCGATAACTCTGCTGATAGCCCAATTTCTGTCTGCAGATGTGTGTAGTCTAATTAGTGCATTGTGGCGTTTGATTAATGTAAACCTGTCGACGTCTGAACCGTTGAAAATTGCAGAATTTATATTAGAAACAAATATAGAAGGTTCTACCATCTAGGTTTCCATTATGCATCGTCTCCAGCTGCCGTTTTGCATTTTGTTAATTTATGGAAGAAAACTATTTTTTTTTCAAAATCAGCAGCAATAAAACAACTCGAGCCAAACAACTTTAAACTCAACATGTTAATTCTAAAATGATGGTGAAATAGCTTTATGCAAAGTATCTGCGTCTTATAGGAAGTCAATGACGTAGGCATAATCTGATTTTGAGATAATTATGGATGATCTTATCGCATTAGAGTGTGTTGCTTCCAAGGGACGTATCGTACTCTGAGGGAAACCTGCCTAATCACGTTTAAAAGTTTTAACAAGAAAAGATAACTCTTAAAATGCTCGCTGATGGAGCGCTGTCAAGGGATTTAAGTTATACCAGAGTGCAGTGTCAAATCTGAACGTAAGTGGATTTTACTTTTCTTATAAACTTGACAACGTAAGTACTTGGATGTTTTTTTTTTTCCTTTCCAGTTGTCGGTTGTTAGTGATGAGTCAGTGCTGTACAAGTGTGACAAAAACGATCCCTATTAAGCTATCTTTCAATGCAGTCCAGTGTGTGGGTAATCATATCGTGCAATTGGTTAATCCCCTCTGTTTGAGTTCAACGACTCTTAAATGGTTTTATGGCCTACATGAGATTGAAATGTTCAGCAACTGGTGTCTAGCTCTTCGTTCCTGACGTCAAACTTGTGGCGGTCCGTGCATTGTCGTAGTGACTGTCCAATTTGTCCAAAGTAAACGGCTGTGGGGAATTAATTGTTAGCAGGTGGGTAGGGATTTAAGTTATCCACTTAACTTAAATCCCCTTGACAGCGTTCCATCCACGAGCAGTGGGGTGCTGTGGTGCAATGGTTAGTTGGTTACGGTGTTCGACTCGTGTGCCGTGGTATATGGGTTCGAATCCTGACGGGGAACATGGCCAGGTGCATGTGCGCTTGAGCAAGGCACTTTACAACGATTGCCTCTCTCCACCCTGGCGTAGTAAATGGGTACCTGGTAGGAAGAAATTCCTTCAGTGCTTAAGCACCGTAATGGCAGCCGTGCTAAAGCCAGAGTAATATTGGAGCGCCAGGAGCGTCAATTCGTCTCGTGACAGACATGAGCGCTATACAAGAAGCCAATGTTATTATTATTATTATTTGGTAATGGCATTTAGGTGCAGCTGAAAGATCATTTGATGTCATATAAGACATTGTTGGGTCCAATGATGTGATGTGCATGCTAGAGTTTAAGTGGGGGCAAAGTTAGCATCTTGAGCTGTTGCAAGGGGTGGTTCTACTGTTGATGGGGAGGGCAAGTGCACTTCTGACAAGGTGGGTTCGAAGATTTGGGGCTTGTTTGCAGATAATGATGGGATTTTTGTGAGGGGATATCATCATCCTGAAGGACTTGATTGAGTTCATGGATGATGCGTCGTAGTGGTTTCAGTAGAGAGCTTTATGTAATCACCAGGGGTGGCCTGCCTCTGCTGTCACGTGACTTGTTTTGAAATCATCATTCTGAGGGACTTGATTGAGTTCATTGATGATGCGTCGTAGTGGTTTCAGTAGAGAGCTTTATGTAATCACCAGGGGTGGCCTGCCTCCGCTGTCACGTGACTTGTTTTGAAGTAAAGCTTATCCCGGGGTTTGCGTTTGGCTTTATTGATTTGTTCAGTCTCTCAGCCCTGGGTTTGTTCTGCAAATCCAAGAATGATTGGTGAAAAGGTTGGTTCGCTGGTTGGCACGATCAATGGGGTCAGAGCAGATGCGGTTGCATCGTAAGGCTGGGTAAAATCTGGAGGCATGTAGATTTCTGTTGCGATCTGTGTTTTTTTGTCTCTTGTAGACCGAGGTAGCAAGGCGGCCAACGTCAACATTGACGATGGTGTCTAGAAAATTGACTTGGTCAGTCAGATGACCTATCGCCGTTTGCGATTTGGCCACGCCCCTCAGATAACCCTATGAAATGTTTGTACGCTAAGTTATATTTGTCTCAGATGTTGCGCGTTCCGCGTCCACTTTGTATATCATGTAATTGCACAGTATTTCACAAGCTGCGTTGACGCGATTCTAACGCGATTCTACCGCGATAGGTCAATAGGGTTGACTGTGGAGGAACCGTTGTTCAAAGTCTGCATTTATGATGGGTATCGCCCAAACACAAGGCCGAGGCCACTCAAAGTTGTAGGCTAAACTTAGAAAGAACAAAGAGAGAAAGAAGTCGTGAAAAAATACATCCAGATGTATTCACATTTCGCTTGAATTGTAAAAGATTGAACGTAGACGAGAATCATGATTCCGATAGCGCTCCAGAGAGGGTCAGTTCAGACAGAGGGCCAGAGGAGTAGGCTTCCACATCTTCTACCAAGGGACCACACTGGAAATACGTCGAGAGACTTTTGTGGGTTATCCCGGCCAATTGCCGAAAATATTTACATACATAATATATACGAG